GCTTCTTCCCATATTTAAAGATTGACTGGTCAACAGTGTCATGTGTTTTTTCACCATGCATTCCTTTTATTTTTGGGGGGGGGGGTTGGTTTTTCGAGACAGGATTTCTCTGTGGCTTTGGAGCCTGTCCTGGAACTAGCTCTTGTAGACCAGGGTGGTCTCGAACTCACAGAGATCCGCCTGCCTCTGCCTCGGGAGTGCTGGGACTAAAGGCATGCGCCACCACCGCCCAGCCCACATTCCTCATTTTTAATGCATGAATATACACGTGTGTGTTCCATGTGTGGAAAGGTTGTGCACACACATGTATTAGGGCCAGAAGACAACCTCAGGTGTTATCCTCAGAAGCCATCCACTTCCGTTGAAGTAGGGTCTCTCATTGACTGGGAGCTTACTAGTTAGTCTAGACTAGCTGGCAAGTGAGCTTCCAGGTTCCCCTTGTTTCCACTGCCCCAGCACTGGGATTACAAGCACACACCACTGTAGCTGTCTTGCCTAATACGGCGGCCACACCCCTTTGGGTGTGACTTCAGGCAGACAGAAACAGAAAAAGGGAAGCTTGAGGCGTGGCTTTCCTTGGCCTGGTCTTTCTGGTGGGTCAGCTGACCAGGTAGGAAGGTAAGAGAAGCGCTCCCGCAGTTCTTTGTATTTTTCTGTGTCATTGTTCCACAACAAACACCCATTTATCATTTATCTTGGGTCGAGTGAAATCATTACACCTTCGTCGTCATAGAAATTATAACACCCTTGCCTTTACACCACCACACTCACAGATTTTTCTACATAGATTCCTGGGGTTAAACTCACTTATTTAATCAAATGGAGATATTGCCACAGAGAATGCACTGGATAAATTAGCCGGCAGGGTGACTGTGTGTCTAAGGGGGCCACTGTGTCTATAGTGGAAATAATAGAGATGAACACATAACCATAGGGTGAAGGGAGCTCCCCAGTTCCCAGAGCATGAGCTGCAGTTTCTGGAACATCAGGAACACTTGGCTAATGTTATTGTTATTGCTTTATTCCCACTGACTGTTGGAAGACACTGTCATCACTGGCTTCTGTGAAAGGGGTAAACTAAACTCAAAGGCTTCACTTTTAAAAATGAAGGGACCAGACCCTCACTCAGCCCCTGCTTTAGCAGCCATGACAGGCTACAGAAAAGACACATAGGTCTCTGACACAAGGAAACTCCAGATCCTCCCGCCTCCCGGAGTCTAGGACCAAAACTGAACACAAAGAAACTCCAGACACACCCCCCCCAAGCCTCCTAGATACTTGGTTCCTGGGAACTGTTTGGCCACAAAAGAAATTCCAGGGGGGACCAAAACCTCCCCTGTAGTCTCCAGGATATAGTTCTGAAAACTATTGGTATCTATGTACAACAGACCACCTGCAAGTAACAAGACAATGCCATAGAAACCACACAATGTTCCCTCTCAGCACTGACCAATGAAAATAATTGGTACACAGGTATTTCTTGCCAAAATATAACTTTGAGAAATTCTCCTGATTGTTCCCAAATGTCAACCAATCAGAAACCAACCCTACTGATGTAATCCTGTAACTTTTGTCTTTAAAACCTAGCAGTAGACAGGGAACCTCACTCCCTCTGGAGGCTGCTATGTCAGCTTGCTAAACGGGGTCCCTGTCATGGTTGGATGAACAATTAAAACCTTGCTTTTGCAGTTTAGTGGGTCTGTCTTCCTGGTGGTCTCTGGGGACTTTGCAACTTGGGCACAACACTCTGGTCTAGCAGATGCCTCAGTGGTTAGCTCCTCTTCTCCACTGAGCGGCTCAATGATACTAAATTGTGCCTTCCACTAAAGGAAAGCATAGAAGCCGCTGCTCTGTAAATCTCTTCTTTGTTTCAGAGTTTATTTGTCCTTTTACTGACTGGTTTAGGAAAAGACAGAGTAGCCAGTGTTTATCCGGGCAAAAAGACAAGAAACCTTTGAGCACCTGTGACTTTTTTTCAAAGGCTCTTCTTATGAAACAAAACTGAAAATACCAAACTTAATCACCTGTAATGCACCTCCCACATCGCTATAAATTCAGAGATGTTTTGACTTTGAAGTTGAACTTCAAGCAATCATTGCAAAGGTAAATGTAAAATTCAATCTTCTGTCAGGTTTGGGGGCCCACAGCTGTAACCCCAGCACTTTGAGAAGAAGGTTACATGTTGGAAGCCAGCCTGGATATGGAGCAAGATCTTATTTCAAAAACATGAATTAGGGACTGGAGAGTTGACTCAGTTGGTAAAGTGCCTGCTAGACAAGGATGAGGCCCTGAGATTGAGTCTCCCAGCACCCATGTAAAAAAGCCAGACAGGGTCACACATGACTGTAACCTTAGCATATGGGAACAGAGACATGTGGACCCAAGGAGCTTGCTGATCGCCAAGTTTAGCCGATCAGTCAAGTACCAGATTCAGCTGGAGACCTTGTCTTAAAGATAACATGGAGAATGACTGAGCAAGATACCGCTGTGTTGACTCCTGGTCTCCACACGTGTGTGCAAATACATGGGGATGCGTCCACACTCACACACACACATCACACATGGGCATGTACAAAAAAGTTAACATGAATCCATCATTTCATATTTTTCTAGAAAACTGAGTAATTTGAGAAAGTAAAATATTTTTGAAACACAATACAAAACCTCCCATAAACAAACAATAAATATCTAAGCAGTTTGTTCACAATAAATATCCTGCCCAGCTAGAAGCCTTGAAAGAGACACCCAAAACAGAATCTTCAGTGGCTCTAACCCCTAGAGTCCCAATGACTGCAGTTTGTTCTGCTAACATAATAAACTGTTTTCATGAGAACAGTATGAGGGCTGAGATGGTCTCTGACCACTAATATATCATGAGTTCAGTCCCTACTCTCCTATCTCTTGGCCATGTGTGACAAAGTATCCTGGGAACATCCTACAGATTCCAGAATTACCCTTCCCTTCTAAAAATCTAATGTTTTGGTCATTTCATTCTCAAAAAAAGAATTCCAATGAGATGGTTCAAGGGTTGGGTCGTGCTGAAAGCACATACCTCTAAGCCTAAGGATGGCCTACGTTCAGTCCCTAGAAGCCACATAGCCAAAGGAGAGTTGACTCCCCCGTGATACCCTTTGACTTCCACGTGTAATGCCACATGGTATATGTATGTCCATACACATACACATGTATACAGCATAAGGAAATAAATACAGAAATAATTCAACTCCAGAGGACACAAAGAGACCACTTTTAGACTAACATGGAACCTCTCTGAGATTCCTGTTTCCCATGAGCTATTTATTCAAGAACTCTGTCCTCTGAGCTTAAGAGCTATTATGAGCTCACTCAAAATAGCAACCTTGAGATCCAGATTGTTGATATAAGACAAGGAAGGTCATCAGACCTCACCTGAGATCTCAACTGCTCCCTCCTATGAGTACAGCTCTATATAATTTTGCCTGTGGTCTGGTGGTCTCAGGAGGCACTGGAAAACACAGAATGTGGAAGATGAACTAAAGGGAAGATTCAATCTACACGGCTGTTGGGAAGCAGTCATCCATGCTGGGGTGAGACTCTTAGGTGGTGCAGCTGCTTTAAACGACCCCTCCCCCGTGCTGTGTAAGGAAGTCCTACAAGGAAATCCCCATTGTACTGTGATATAACCGCTACTCTGAGCTGTTACTGTGGGTCCTCTCTGGATGGTTTACACATCTCCCCAGCAACCGTTTATGTAGCAGCATAGCTGGTGACCCTTGAGTGTTTTTTCCATGGCTACAACTTTCGTGGTGTCTACCAACTGTGGATCTTGACTCCTCCCTTTATTCTCCAAGAACAGCTGATAACAAAGCTTTAAGATAACACGGAGTGTTTATGAGAGAAATAATAAACCCTAGGTTGAGAACAGGAGACAGCTTGTCTCTATTCCCATTTCACAAAAGGGTCCTCTCTGGCCCCTTCTCCTACAGTCTCTGACATGTAACCTTAGCTAGAGCCATGGTGATAGGATCTGAGACTAAGGAGAGGGCTCAGTGAGTAAGAGTGCTTGCTGTGCCAACATGAGGGCCTGAGTTCAAACCCCCAGTACTCATGTAAAAAGTTGGGTATGGCTTCATGCACCTGTAAACCGATCCTTGAAGACAGGAGACTTGCAGAGGTTAGCTGGCTGCCAACCCAGCTCTGGGTTCAGCAAAACACTCTTGAGAACAAATGATAAAGTAGGACACTCAAAGTCCTCCTTTGGCCTCAGTGCTCACAGAAGTACACACACACACACACACACACACACACACACACACACACACACACAGCATGCCTGACTGACATGTTCTCCACTACCATTCTTCCCGCTTCAGCTAACAAACCACATCTTCAAAACCACACTTCCCCATGACTATAACACCTCTGCAACATCACTTCCTGAAGTTAGCCTGTCCATCGTTAGGTAGAACATCTAGACTGCAGCGTTTGCTGGCTCATGTGTCACTGATATTGCACCTCCCTAACCATGAGTGCGTAATCCACGTCTGTGGTTTGTCACAGGACATGCCAAGTGAAGCAGCCCCACCTCACCCTCCAATGCAGAGTCTCAGGAACACTCACACCCAGGCCACTCTCCTTGGCTCTCTGCCTGCCCTCACCCTCCTGCCATCAACAGGGGACATGCCCACTCAGAGCTGGGACATGACAGGTCTCCTCAAAGCAGAGGTTTCAATTTCCAGTCTACAATGCAGAAAATGCAACAAGTTCTTTTGTTTCTTAAAAAAATCTTTAATAAAGTCTCACCTCCCCATCTTGAAGGTACGAGATGTGAATTCCAGAGCTCATGTCCTTATGGGCAGCTTGGAAATAGAAGGGACTGCTGTCCAGAAAGCAGTCTATGGCCCCATGTGTCCTCATCCTCCTGACTCAGAATGTCAATGGTCTGGCACCTGGTTACCCTGAGCCACTGCTTATAGTCTGACAAAAATGCAGGTAGCCAGCGCATGGAATTTCCCACACTCTCAAAATCATGGTTTTTTAATGGATGAGGGCACATAATTGATGATATACTTTGTCCATGGGGTTCACACCAGAGAGCCAGAGCAGTGAGCAAGAAGTGGGTGAGTTCACTCTGAGTCACTAAACACTTTATGGTGGGGGAGCTGTTCGTTAATCAAAGAATTCCCTGCTTGCTTATTAGACATCAATTCGGCCTAAGAGTTCAGAATCATTAAGGAGTCCACTAAAACACGACAGTGTTAGTTTAAAGCTGAAGGGGATGGGCTTGTAGAGGCCGGGTGCTTAGGTTCTGCCTGAGAGGAAGCCCTGACATAGACATGAGTTAAGAGACCAAAAGGGGTATTGGGAGCCCAGTTTATCTCCCAGGTGTCGGGTGGACGGAGAAGGGAACCACGGCTGCTGGCTTCTTGCTAGTCATGATGCGCAGAAATGAGGGCTTGTCCGAATACAAGCGTCCAGGACCGCCAGGCCCAGTACACGGGCTGGTGGAAAAGGGCAGAGGAAACTCCAACCAAGAAATATACCCAGGCTCCAGTATTCAAGAAGCTGAAGGAATCGTCAGCATTGGGTTGCTGAGAAAGGGATGGAGGACAACGCCAGTGTTACATTGTGTCTGTTTACTTCCATCAGGACAAAGACCCCCCCAGCAAGCCCCGCCTAAGTTCTCAAACAGTTTAAGGGCTCCATCTTGTTGGTGCATGCCGTCCACGTTTTCCAGGCCCTTCTAGAGTCATAGGAGAACCCATCTCTAGCCTTTTTGGGTGACTTCAGTTCATGGAATAAAACCCACAGGAACAATTTCAGATCTTCCATTGGAATCACTCCTTCATTCACACAGTGGAGACCGACTTACATATTTTGAATATTCATCTGAAATCAGTTAGAATGGAAATTTCAATTTTTCTGGCAATTATAAATCCTAAGTGTTTTTTAATAGTCTCATTGGTTATTCTTTAAATTGAAGATTTTTAAATAGTAAGGAACAAAGTTGACACATGTGATGGTCAGGGTCAATTGTCAACTTGACAAAATCTAGAATTACCTAGGAGATGTGTCTCTGAGTATGGCTGGAAGGGGTGTTCTTAATTGAGTTCACAGAGATGGGAAGACACACCCTGAATGAGGACACACCGTTATATGTGCTAGCCCAGGAATGGATAGAGGAAAGGGAACTGAGCTAACCATGCACCCACTCACTGCTCTTTTACTCTGAATGCAGACAGAATGTGCCTGGCTCTCTCAAGTTCCTCACCCTGGTGGACCATTGCCTGCAACTGTGAGCTAAGTGAGTTCACAGCTGTTTGTGTGGAGTTGCTTTTGTCTACGTTTTTTATCAAAGCAACAAGAACAGACTCTAAGTCAGAAGTCAGTGCTGAGAAGTGAGGTCACTGCTGTGGTGAACCTCACCAGGTGGTTCCGCCTTCTTTGCAAGTGTTTTGAAGCTAGAACGTGCAAGTTTGGAATCTGGAGTCAGGAACCCTGGAGGGTGGAAGCAGGGCTTAGTGAGATCTGGTGGGATCATAGAAGAGGAGAGTGCTGAGGAAAATGCCCGGCTCCTGGGGTTTCAGAGGGAAGCAAGGACTCTATCAGGAACCGAGCTGAGGACCATTTTGTGACATTTGGGACAAGGACCTGGCTTCATCTGCCCATATCCTGAGAAACCGAGTGAAGCTAAATTGAAAGATTATGATCTGGTTTGTTTGACTGAGGAGTTAGGACAGGGGAGTGTTAAGAAGGCAGCTGAGGTTGGCAAATAAAATACATTCTTTTAATTTTGAAGCATATGAATTAGCTGTCTGTGTGTCTGTGCATGGGTTATGTGTGCTTGTGCCCACAGAAGCCAGAGGACAACACTAGAGTTAAAACTTGTTTTGAGCCACCATCATGGGTACCGGGAACCAAACTGAGGTCCTCTACAAGAGCAGCAAGTGCGTTTAACCACTGAGCCACCTCTCCAGTCAGATTAAGGTGCAGCTGGTCTTAAATAGCGGGCAACAGCTTGCCTTGATGTCCTCTCCACCCTCCCCTCCCCCAAATGACACGTGGGTCTGAAAGGGCAGGACTGAGAGAGACAGAAGAAGGTAGAAACATCTGAGAACACCAGAAAGAGTTCCTGGGAAGAGGTCTTCATTTCCAGAACTGTTCTAAAGGACTTTCCAGAATGTTTCTGATAGTTTCCCAGTGCCACAAAATAAATTTAGCCTAAGAAACAAACAAAGGAGTAAGATTAAACAAATAAGTGAAATGGCCCCAACAGTGCCTGGCATACGCGAGATTCGTACCAGTTATCAGTTCCTCCCCTGCTGAGGGTGTGGGGGTCTTCATCAGCTATAGTGGACAAATGTCAAAGGAGGTAATTAAGCACATTCCAATCTTCCAGAAACTCAGTCTTCTTAAACAGGGCCACTGAGTGAGGAAGGCGAGGAGGAAGAAAGGAGTAATCTTTGCCCTGCAGTTGCTGGGGGCTCTTCCTGCACTCAGACTTCGCAGCATCTTCAAGCAGATAGAGGTTTGGGTCTTATGCTATCCACCACTGCTGAGATGACAGCACCTGCAGCCTTCGCTCCCTCCGCCAAAGCATGCTCCACCTGCAAAGCACAGTGGTTCACGGGACAGTGGGCACCAGTTTCAGGCTGGCATCCTCCCTGGCTCCCACCCATCCCATCCCCTTCAGGACCCATCCATCCTGGAGCCTTTTCCTGCAGGAGAAGACTACGTCTCCAAATCCCTCAAGTTTCCAGAGACCCAGCAAAGGGGGCATCTGAAGACAGGCACCCAAGGCTGAGCAGGCTCCCTTTCCCCAGGCCATGAAACCTCTAGCCTTTTTCTTCCCCAGGAACCATTTGACACAGGATCTGCCTCCAGAGTAGTACATGGTGCAAAGGATTTCTACATGGGACAGGCTGAAGCCACTGAGGCCCTCATTCAACAAAAAGGGACCCTGAAAACCAGGGAGGTTAGTTCAGTCTCATGACTCCTGGGCCATGAGTCTTCAGAGGACTACCACGCCCTCCACGGGGGGGGGGGTCTTTATTCACATGCAAATGTTCATGGGAGGAAGATCCTTCATACTGGAGCCCAGCAAGCTTCCAGTGCAGAGCCTCCGGAGAGCAAGCACAGCAAGCAGAGTGGAGAGGAGGATGGGGGGGGGCAAAGTGGACAGAGGGAATGGGTGCATGCTCCGAGAGTAAGTAACAGTGGGGAGATTTGACCCCACTCTGTGCAGAGAAGATACAAGTCACAGGAGAGGCAAAACAGAAAATGATGTTCCGCCTTTAATCCTTTGTCTTGTTTTGTTTTTTTACCTATTTAAAAGGAGTTGCACCTTTCCTCTGCTCATGAAGGTTTTGTTTTTTAATAAGGGTCAACTATTAGTGAGAACAGTTTAAACTGTTACAGATATTTAGGCTTCAGGGCTCTTTCACGTGTGCTGTGTGTTATATGTTGCCACTGGCCTGTCTGAACTAGGCAGACAATATGACAAGAACTGGAAGGAGGTATACCTATGCCCAGCATCAGAGATGACCTGACAAAACCCAGCAAAGCACAGTGAGGAGCCCCTGCGAGCGCTCGGGAACACACCTGCTGGCTCCTGGGCACGCCGTATCTGAGGTCATTGACAAAGTGCTCGCAGTTCCCCTCGATCAGGCTGTACTGCACTATCTTGTTGATCATGTTTTTTGTGCGCTGCATGATCTTGTCCACTGGGAGGGGCAGGTATATCCCATCCAGCTTGTTGTTGATCTTCCAAGAGCAGCCGTGCAGTACATCCTCCAGCCGGCTGTACTTCACCACAGCACGGTTGCTGAAGATAGACGTGATGCTGCCCACCTCAAACTCCTCACCTGGGGAGCAACAACAAAAGTTGGGAAGCCTCAAGGAGTAAGGGGTCTCCCTAAGACCTTTTGTAACCTAATTCCTGTTAAGTTCTCAATCAAAATACCAACTAGGAGCTTGGCAGAGGAGAAGGGATTGGCATGGAGGACCAGCTCTCCCGAGGGATACTTTTCTTGGGGATGAAGGGAGGGAATGGGCATATAGGTTGGAGGGTATGCACACATATGCTGTTGTGCATACATGTGTGGAGGCCAGAAGTCAAGATCGATTGTCTTCCTCAACCACTCCCCATCTTAGCTTTTGAGACTGGATCTCTCACTGAATGAAGAGCTCACCTATTGGCTAGACAGGCTGACCAATGGGCTCTGGGCATCACCTATCTCTGACATACACTGATTTTTACATGAGTGTTGGGGCTCTGAACTCAAAATCTCATGCTTGTGCGGGAAGCACACTATCAACTGAGGCAGCCCTCACCCAAGAAATCTTTTGTCCTGAGTTTCATACTCTGTTCACCTCCAGAAGAATCTCATTAGTGATTCTGGAAATACCTTATCGCCTGGCCCTGGACTAGACTGCATTGCCCAGACCCTGTCTTAGAAACTGAGTCTTGTTCCTAAGCAGATGTCAATGATCCCCACCATCTGTGTGTCACCCCCAGGTAAGGCTCTGTCATGTGCATGATAACAGTGGTTCCATAACATGCCTCCCCCTGCAAGGAAACGGCGAAGCCACATATTTAGATCTCTGGTGCCTACTCAACCACCATCCACTCAGAGCAGGCTTGCGTTCATTACCACCAAGGAGGGGCTCTGCAGCTTCAGGAAAAAGAAACATTTGAAAGCTGCTACATTCTCTCACACTCAGTGTTTAGAAGACATGGAACCTGTCTAAGGCCACATGGTAGACATTAAATACCCTCTACAAGTGATGATTTTCAATATTCTCATCAAAAGGAAATGATAGATGGGGTGGAGTGGCTAAGTGGATAGGGCATTTACCCCACAAGCATGAAGATAAAAGTTCATATCCTCAGAACCTATAGGACAACCAGGGGAGAATGGGGGCTGCTGTAACCCCAACACTTGGGAGGGAGAGATGGAAGATCCCCAGGGCTATCCAGAATTAGTAAGCTGCAAGGTTCAGAGAAAGAGTGATCAAGAAGACACCTGATATCGAGATGTCTTTTGACATGACGACATTTCAGGCCTCTACATGTGAGTGCAAGAAAACATGCATGCACACAGAGCCCAGTATATGCACTTACACATACAAAGAAGAAGAAACAATATTAGAGGAGATGGATATGTGTGGTCATTGCAAAGCAGTTGGAATCACACTGCATCTCAACGACGTCTACCACTATTGTATCAACTAAGGACAGGACATTTTAAAAGATAATTTATCCACAGGAGCCACCTGGATGGTTGCACATAATACATGTGTCTTTTTCTAAGTTTTCCAAGAGCAAAAAGAAAAAAAGTCCCTCATTGTATTTCTGTGTACTACAAGAAAATCTGATTTCACAAAAATTAATTTAGCCTCATTAACAGCCCTACTTTGCCCCTGCAGTGGCCACAGAGGAAGATGAATTATGGCGCCACTGTCATCATGAACAGACACAGAGATGACAGAATTTTCTCTTAGAGAAGGAGCTGGTGGGGAGAGGATCACTGCTAACCATCTCTTTAGCTATACAAGTGCAGTGTTTCTGGGCGCGGCTACAGGAAAGGGGTGGAGATGGGTCTTTATGTCATGTTTTAGTGTTTTTACTTATCCTCTCAGGATTCCATACAACGTATTTTGATCATATTCTTTCCCCTCCCTCAGCTCCTTCTCTCATCTCTTTCATTAGGTTCCTGGACAGAAAATGGAGACAGGAAGTGGATGGGGCTGAGAAGAGAAGGAAGAGGAAGGGAACTCAGCTCTGCAGGAGAGGGAGAAAGCTGCAGGAATCAAAGACCTTGGCAGTGCCCTTCCATGATTCCATTTTGAGCCAGCAAGAGCTACATAGGACAACAAATCACCCCTCCCCCACCCCAGCCACACCCCCCAGGACCAGACTCCTGAGATGGCCACTATGAACAATGCATTCTAGTCCACATTCAATTTTGAGTTGTTTCACATTCATCTGTGACCTCCTGCTATTTTCACCATCTGGTTCCTTGTCAAGTCTCCACTTCACTTTAAACCATGGGGCATGAAATAAGAACCAAGTAAACATTTAGGGTAAGGCAGCCAAAGCACACTGGAATATCAGGAAGATGAAGGCTTCCATCTTGGGCAGGAAGGTGACAAAAGATGATATGGCTGTGGGGCGCAGCAGTTAGGAACAATGGAAAACAAGTGACGTGTGAGCAACTACCCTCCTTGGTGTCTTTAGAAACATGATGAAGGACACTAAATGACTGACTTCAGAAACAGGTTGAAGGGAATTGTAAGGACACTCTGCGCTCCTGTCATTCTTAGTGCTAGACACTTGGTGCTTACTCATAAACAAATAAATGTCCGGGAATGTTTTTGTGCTAAAGGGCCGTGACTGAGGACCAGCCACAGTGATTGACTATCCTTGTGTTTACTCTGCTATCTTCCATAGCAGCAGTATATCGACTCTTACTCGGGGGAGCCAGGTGAACCACACAATCATCTTCCACGTAGATGGCCCAGTGTTCATAGCCAATTCGAAAAATCTCAATCAGGTCTCCAGGTCTAGGTCTTGGTTTGTTCTATGATAGGAAGAAGAGAGAGACAGATAAACTGAACATGTCCAAGGGACTCCAGAGGCACAGGCCAGCCTATATATAGGTCACCTCACTGTGGTCTATCACTTGACAAAAATCCAACCTGACCCCTCTTCACCAGAAGACCACAGGATGTCCCCTTCCCTGACACAATATTGGGGTTGTCTGTGTTGGTGATCAGTGTGTTGACTTGTGTGATATTTTGTTTGTGCTCTGACAAATAAGTTTGCTTGGAGTCAGAGGGCACAGCTAGCCACTAATTGACCATGGAGGTTTGGAGGACTCTAGACAAGAGAGACAAGAAGTGATAAGGTGGGGGAGAAGGGATATGGGTCCTTTTGGATGGAGGAACAGAGAGAGGAAGGAAGCAACTGGTGGTTGCTCCCAGTTATCTGATCTTCCAGGTTTTTAACCCCATATCTGACTCCTGATTTTTTATTGATTAAGATTAATTAAATTAATGCTTCATCTGGCATCCAACTTTAGGGGCATGAATTCACAAAATAACCACTTGCCCATGGCTTTACAGCCTCTGGCACCCGCTGGCACAGCACATGGCAGGGACTGCACCCGGCAGAGTCACTGCACTGCCAACTGCCTTTCCCTTTGTTCCCCAAGTCCTCTGAGTGAGGTTGGGATGGTCCTGTTGGAGTCTCTCTAAAACAGTCTCCAGCTGCCACCCGAACTCCAGAGGCACCTGAGCTCCAAACATCACTGGACTTATCCTCACTAGACTGGCTGGTTCTGCCGCCAGACAGCTCCCAGCACACATGTGTCTTCCACACCATCTCCTATGTGTACTTTCAGACAGCCAGCTCCCTCTCCCCAGTGGGCTGTGGGCCTCCCTGAACCCCCTCCCCAGATGCTGCAACATGAGGTAGCTGGCTTGACACCCACTCAGGTTCTACTGTGGTTGCAACCACCACACACTTAGCTCACAGCTGCACACTAGCAGCTGCAGCTGTGCACTGCCTGTGTTCTCCGCCCAGCTGGGCACTGCCTGTGTTCTCCACCCAGCTGTGCACTGCCTGTGTTCTCCGCCCAGCTGTGCGCTGCCTGTGTTCTCCGCCCAGCTGTGCGCTGCCTGTGTTCTCCGCCCAGCTGTGCGCTGCCTGTGTTCTCCGCCCAGCTGTGCGCTGCCTGTGTTCTCCGCCCAGCTGTGCGCTGCCTGTGTTCTCCGCCCAGCTGTGCACTGCCTGTGTTCTCCGGCCAGATGTGCTATGCAGCCCACACTTCACTGTCATCAGCAGCAGATTTGCTGAGACAACTGGGAATTCTTAAGGGGGAATTAGGTTTTTTTTTTTAAAAAGAGGGTTTTCCCATGTTAAAAAATGGGAAACATTATCACAATGGAGGGAGTTAGGTTTCTGTATGATTACACAATGGATTGTTTAAAAATGGAACAATTAAATGAGGGGATAATTAACTTAGATTGGATTTACATAATGTCAGTTATAAACATTATCTTATAAACATTATCAATTTGATAATTCTTGTTTTATCCTAAAAATAGTTGGTTAATATGAGTGCCAAAATACAGGCCGTAGAAAAGGTTACTAAAGAAAATAATGCCATTTTGACTGATAAGTTACAAACTTTAAGAGATGTTCAGACAAAGACAGAGGAATTTAAAGGAGAACCAGCCTCAGCATTGCATTATAAAATTAGAGAGAAACAGCCCAAGGTCATCAAACAGCACAACCTTCATTTATTCACCTTACAGAAACAACTGCCAAATGACATATATACCCAAGGCTGTGTAAGAGCTGACTGGACCCTGTGGAACTGTCAAATTTGAGGAGATTTAAGGAAGTGTGTGCGTGTTTCCCTTCTTTGGGATTTGCTGGTGTGAGGTTATCTACTGCTTCTTCAGGAGGTAAATGTTCAGCTTTTAGGGATTGGAACTTTATATCAGGCAAAAAAAAAAAGAGCATGAGATGGGTCAAATGTATAGGGCCAGAGGGACAAAGAGGAAAATTAAAGCCATATGCAGCTAACAGCAATGAATTTATGGGGGTGTGATTTGTTACAGCAATAGAATACCCAGAATAGCATTCCTCCGATCTCAGAAACAAACCATAAACTAATGTATGCTTCCGGGGAAAATATTCAAAGGTATTATAAAGAAGAATCACTGACCATTCAGGTTGTACAAAAACAGGACACAACAGCCTTACCTGTATGGGTGGAACAGAGGCCTTTGCCATCAGAAAGATAACAGGCCTTAGAACAGATAGCATAGCTAAATGCTCAACATCCTGAAGAACTGAGCAGTCCTTGGAAAGCTCCTGTATTAGTTATTAACAAGAAATCTGAAGCCGGGCGTTGGTGGCTCACACCTTTAATCCCAGCACTCGGGAGGCAGAGGCAGGAGGATCTCTGTGAGTTCGAGGCCAGCCTGTACTACAGAGCAAGTTCCAGGACAGCCTCCAAAGCAATACAGAGAAACCCTGTCTTGGAAAAAAAAAGAAAAAAGAAATCTGGAAAATAGAGAATGTTAACAGATTTGAGAGCCATAAATAATGGAATTCAGCCAATGGAATTCCCCAGCCTTCTCTATTACCTAAATGATGGTCTATTACAGTTATTAATTTAAAATACTTTCTTCACTATACCTTTACAAGAAAAGGATAGAGAAAAATTTGCCTTCGGGGTGCCTACTTATAATAATTCTCAGCCTGTTAAGAGGTGTCAGTGGGAGATTCTCCCACAAAGGATGCTAAACAGCCCCACCCTGTGCCAACATTTTGTACATTGGAAATAATTCATAGTTTTCTCAATCTATAATTTACAATTATACAGACAATATCTTTCTAGTTGTTTCAAATATAAATACCTTAGAGAAAATATTTGAAGAAGTAAAGAAAAAATTACCTTACTGGGGATTACAAGTTGCTCCTGAAAAAATACAAAGGGGAGATTTTATTAATTATCTAGGATATAAAATAGGTTTACAAAAAAAATATCAATCCCAAAATGTAAAAAATCAGAAGAGAACAATTGCTGACTCTTAATGACTTTCAAAAACTGCTGGGAGACATTAACTGGCTACAGCCCACAACTGAATTAACAACTCAAGACTGAATAATTTATTTAAAACCTTACAAGGTGATAAGGACTTAAATATTCCAAGAGAATTATCAGTGAGGCTGAGAGAGAATTGGCTTTGGTAGAAAAGAAATTACAGGATGCACATGGGGATCACTTGGATCCAGAACTTGGTGGTATCCTGGTCATACTACCTTCCACACAGTCTCCTACAGGAATTCTTATGCAGACAGAAAATAACGTCTTAGAATGAATATCTTTATCACACAAGCAGAGTAAAAAATTAAAGACCTTCAATTACCAGGGCCTAACGAAAAAAATTTTCCCCTAAACTTAACCTTGTCCTCTGCTCTGCCAGCATCTCACCAGGTCCAAGAGACACCAGATTGCACATAGCCTGGACAGCAGTGAAACAATCAGATACCCCAGGATGTGGCCAGTACCCCACCTTCCTCAGGTCCCCCAAAGATCAGCAGGAAGCAGTCTCAAGATCCTGATGCCCTCATTTTTCCTAACCTGCCATGCCTAACTCCTCACCTGTTTTAATAAATAAAAAAGGGAAGAATGTTAGCATCCAGGACCTGGCAGAGTGTGTCACCGCTGCCAGGTGGCAAGCAGTCCCAACAGTTCCCTGTAAGAGACAAGCTCCACCCACTCCCCCCTCTCTCCCTGCTGTTCTTCTTTCTCCCCTGTCTCCCTTCCCTTCCCCCAATAAAACTTCCCACACAAGCTTGGTCTGCATGACATGTTTGTCCCTCACCTACTGTGGGGCTTCTCTCCAAGGTCCAATCTGTACAAAGTAAGACTGACAATGCTCCAGCATATGTCTCTAGTAAAATGAAAGGCTTTTTTGATATTACAATGTAAGGCATATTACAGGTGTTCTACAAAATCCTATAGGGCAAGCAGTTATAGAAAAATTCCTATCAAATTCTAAAAGAAGATGTTTAATACTCTGGGTCGAGCTCCGGGAGTCCAGTCAAAGAGAGAGAGAGAGGAGGGATTGTATGAGCAAGGGGGTCAGGACCATGACAGGGAAGCCCACAGAGAGAGCTGACCCAAGCTCGTGGGAGCTCATGGACTTTGGACCAACACCTGGGGAGACTTCATGGAACCAAACTAGGTCCTCTGTGTGTGGGTGAGAGTTGTGTGACTTGATCTGTTTGTGGGACCCTGGCAGTGGGACCAGGACCTATCCCTGGTGCACGAGCTGTCTTTTGGAGCCCATTTCCTATGGTAGGTAGTGGAATACCTTGCTCAGCCTTGATGCAGTGGGGAGGGGCTTGGTCCTGCCTCCACTTGATATGCCAGGCTTTGTTGACTCCCCTTGGGAAGCCTTGCCCTTTCTGAGGAACAGATGGGGGAAGCAGATGGCAGGGGAGAGCAAGAGGAGGGGAGGGAAGGGGACTTATGGCTGATATGTAAAATGAATAGAAAATGTAAAAGAAAAAGAAAAAAGCAAGAAAATCCAACAACATATTGGCATACCAATGTGAGACTCAAAAATCCATCTAGAGCCTGACAAAGCTGAAAAAAAAATGGGTGTCTCCTTTAAGAAATCCCTCTGTACAGCAGAGCACTTAATCTGCACTTTCACACTAAGCAGAAACAAAAAAATAGTTTTAAAAAATGCCTGCCACAGGTCAGGGCATTGGCATTACAAAGTTGGGGGTAGAATGTGGTTCCTGGTCAAAGACACCTCTAACTGGGCCTTGAGCTTTAGACTTGGCTTTCATGAGCCTAGAAGCAGGCAGACCCAGCCAGGAGCCATGCAGAACATGCAGCTGCAGATTAGCAATTTAAACTTTGCTCACACAGTCAAAAAAGACCAGTGATGCGCAGTAAAAGAGGTCCAGATGGGGAAAAAAAATCTCTGAACAGGTTACAGGGTGTTTTGCAATGTGCATAGGCTTAAGAAAATGCGTATATGCAGTTTTAGAAAGAAATAGTTTTTAAAATAAAGTCTTTAAACAGACAGTAAAAGTAATATAAAAGGAAAAAGAACACATAAAGATGGGACATACACAGGGAGTCTGGATCCTGTGTGCTATTGTGTTGATTTTAAATTCTTTGAGTGCTGATACGCACACTGCCGCTGCCAAGAGTCATGACATTAGGAGAGGGACTGATGACAAAAACCAGCCTAGATGTTTTAAGTATGCCTTAGCAAAATGGAAGTCAAAAAATGTATTTGTAAAATGGAACTTAAGGTGTATTGCTTTGGAGAAATGGTTTTGCTTGTGTTTCCATAGAAAACAAGAGGCTTTGTATTTGTCCCAGTTTAATATGGATCTGGTTTGATAAAGGGAGACCTTCTGAAAATTGACAGGTGATATCTATCAACAAAGGTTACCACAAGGACTTGGCCATTACCTAAAAATTTTCTCAGGGACCCTTATGTCTTGGCCCCTAGACAACTGGAAGCATTTTGGAGAACACAATACTCACATTCCCAAAAATGGTGTGGGAGACTTTTGGTTATTTGGTTGGTTATAGTTTCTTATCGTTTAGGAGGATTTAGGAATATAGAATAAAAATATAACTATTAATTTCAGATGTTTTTACATTGGTGTGGATTTTGGTATAGTAATACAAGTTTAAAATTATTTTTCTTAGGCTGGGTGGTGGTGGCCCACGCCTTTAATCCCAGCACTTGGGAGGCAGAGGCAGGCAGATCTCTGTGAGTTCGAGGCCAGGCTGGACCGACAGCCTCCAAAATAATACAGAGAAACCCTGTCTCGTAAAAACAAAAAAAATATTTTTTCTTAAATATATACATATATATTTATACTCTTGTTTAGGGGTATTATGCTTATGCAGTTTGTTTTAAAAATGCAATGTATAAATAAGAATGAAGTTAGTAGTTAATCTATAATAATTAAACTTCTAGTCACATTAGGTATGTTAAATATGTATAGTTTATAGACGATTTTCAAACACTTCAAAGACCTATATGATATGGTATTTAAAATGTTTTGTTAAACTAAGGTTTTTCATGACAATGAGACACATCTGCCCTTGGCAACACCAATTTACTTCAGAGATGACGGGCACTGAAGAAACTCCTTATGGGGTTTACTTTCATTGTGACAAGGTTAGCCACTGGGCATAGAAACTGCTCTTGCCTTTGACTGCTAACAATGTGCTGTACAGACTGGACATGCAGGACACACAGGAGAAAGACTGTTGAACTTTCCAAAACAAGGCAGGACAGTCCTTCAAAATTCCTGCTTCACAGAAGAGTCCACCAGATAATCTTCCAGACACAGAGGAAAGTGACTGATGAAGTTTGCCAATATAAGGCAGGCCAGTCTTCAAATTTCCTACTTCAGTGGAAAGTCTGCCAGATACTCTAAGCCTGTGGGCTGAAGATGGATGCCCCAACATTGCAGAGGACCTTTGGGTGACTGTCTAGGCAGCCAGATGTCTCTATCATTTCTAGAGTTTTGGAGGTTGCTGGCAATGCATTTTCTGTTTGCTCAGGTAATAGGATACCCTTCTGGGGTCTTTGGAGTTAAAGACTAGATAATTATATCTGCAGTTTTCCTTAGTTATGATAGAAAGTAAGTAGATTATGTGTAAAACTTTGGATTCCCTAAGATATGATAATACATTATTTTCTTCTCTGAAATAACTACAAATGGACAGAATATTGTTAATAAATCCTATTAATAACTGTCTTGTGTATAGTTTTACTATGTTAAAGTTAAAATTTTTCTTTCTATTTAGATAAAAAGGGGGAAATGCTGTGGCATATTATTATTTTAAGGTATGTTACAGTTGCTTATGCTATGGAACATTTGTTTTAATGATAAAAAAGAAAAAATATGCTTAATAAATAGAAAGGGGTAATAAAGACCCTCAGAGATAAATTGCACAATGCTTTATTAACTTTAAATTTTCTAATAGCCAATGAGAAAGGAACAACAGCTGCTGAGAGGCATTGGACAATAGAGAAAACTGTTGAATTAAATCAGACTGTATACTTTAAAGATGTGTTGACCTCAGAATGGAAACCAGGATATGTGTTACATTTGGAAAGGGGTTTTGCTTTCCCAGGAGAAGAAAGCTATGGATACCATGAAAATTGATAAAGATTGTATTTAAACACGAGAGAACTCTTGATTAGCAGAGGAGATAGTTCATCAAACAGCATGATTATTCAATCAGTTAGATTATTCAATCTAAACTAACTTATAAAACTAACAAATGCTTTTCATTTGATCATATATAACTCGACAAAAAGGAGTATCCGCAAAGTTAGGGTTGGGACAGGTTTTTGTTTTCGTCTTTCCAGGAGAATGAAGGCAGCCAACTGAGGAATCTGAAGACCACTGGACAACGAGACGTCTGAAGAAAAAGGATGAATCACCCAGAGAAAATGTCCCAAGAAAAGGAGTAAATTGGACTATTGGTATATCACATCTTCAGCAGGATAAAATTTGTGGATCTCACCAAATGTTTGTTTCTGCTTTTCTATACCAACATATAATACAAATGGTCTTTTTGTAGTCCCAGTTCAATTAAAACTTAAAGCTGGCTTTGTAGTTGGAGTGTGGCTCTCTCTAAACCCATGCATGCTTGTTAAAGTAAAATCCAATGTCTGTCTCATGTCAAAAGAGCCACCTGATTTGGAACAGAAGCAAAACCAAAATTAAGGGACTATCCTATTGACACTAATCTCATAATTCTTTGTTTTTATTTTGACTCTTTAACACTTTTCTTAAGGTATAAGTATTATCTCAGAATTTATAAAATTAATATGTATATTTAAACTTTTTGTCATGATATTAGTGGTCATATAGAGTACTAACTAATTCTAGAAAAAGGCTTCATCTGTCTTCCGTGCA